TCTTGAGTAATCAGTGGGTCACAGGAGAAATTAGAGAAGAAATTAAGCAATACCTACAAGCAAACGAAAATACAAATACAAATTACCAGAATCTGTGGGATGCTATGAAACCTATCCTCAGGGAAATTTATTGCACTGAGTTCCCACATCAGGAAAACCAAACAAATGCAAATAAATAACCTGATGTTAAACTCAAACATCTAGAAAAAGAAGAGTAAGTCAAGCCCAAACTCAAAACAGTGAGAAAATTATAAAAATCAGAGCAGAAATTAATGCAATAGGGACTAAGAAAACAACCAACGAATCAAAGAGTGGTTCTTTGAAAGAATAAATAAAATTGATAAGCCACTAGCCAACCTTATTTTAAAAAGGGAAGAAAAAGCTCACAGGAATAAAAAAGGTGAAATCACTATAGACTCTGTAGAAATACAGAAGATCATCAACACCTGTCTCAAAAACTTCTACTCTCATAGCTTTGATAACACAGAAGAAATAGACAAACTCATAGAAACACATGAAGTACCAAAGCTAGGTCAAGAAGATGTAAAACTGCTGAATAACCCAATCTCTATTAATGAAATTGAAAATGTAATTAAGTCCTTATCTACAAAGAAGGGCCCAGGCCCAGACGGATTCCCTGCAGAATTATACGAGAAATACAAAGAAGACTTAATGCCCACACTCCTCAAACTCTTCAATGAAATTGAAAGGGGAACAATCCTTCCTAAGTCATTCCTGGAAGCAAATATTACTCTAGTACCAAAACGTGAGAAAGAACCAACTAAGAGAGAGAGCTACAGGCCAATCTCCCTAATGAACACAGATGCAAAAATCCTCCATAAAATACTGGCAAAGAGAATGCAGCAAATCATCCAGAAGATTATATACCATGACCAAGTGTGATTCATCCCAGGAATGCAGGGATGGTTCAATATATGTAAATCAATAAATGAAATCCACCATATCAATAAATCCAATAGTAAGAATCACATGATCATTTCAATACATGGAGAAAAAGCTTTTCATAAGGTCCAACATTCATTCATGATAAGAACCTCACAGAAAATTGGAATATATTATCTTTACCTCAATATGATGAAGGCTATCAATAGCAAAACAACAGCCAGTATCATGCTAAATGGCCAAAAATTGAAAGACCTCACTTTAAATCAGGCACAAGACAAGGATGTCCTTTACTGCCACTCCTATTTAATATATTACTGGAAATACTAGCCAGAGCAATTAGACAAGAGAGAGAAATAAAAGGGATAAAGAGATGAAAAGAAGAAGTTAAATTATCATTATTTGCAGGTGACATGATACTCTACACAAAAGATGCTCAAAACCCCATTGAAAGACTCTTAGATATAATAAATAAATTCAGCAATGTAGCTGGATAAAAAATCAATACTCAAAAATCAATAGCATTCCTATACATAAACAACAACATCACAGAGAGAGAAATAAGAGAAACCACACATTTCACATTAGCAACCACAAAAATGAAATATTTAGGAATTACTCTCATGAAAGAAGTGAAAGACCTGTAAGAGGAAAAATATAATACACTGAAAAAAGAAATTGAAGGGGATCTCACAAAGTGGAAAGACATCCCTTGTTCATGGATAGGAAGAATAAATATTGTGAAAATGGCCATTCTCCCAAAATTACTATACAGATTCAATGCAATCCCAATAAAAATACCATCAACATACCTCATAGATCTAGAAAAATCACTCCTAAAATTCATCTGGTGCAAGAAGAGACCTAGAATAGCAAAGACAATTCTAAGCAGCAAAGGCAAGGCAGGAGGCATCACAATCCCTGACTTGAAGTTATACTACAAAGCAACTGAAGTAAAATCAACATGGTACTAGAATCAAAACAGAGCCGAAGCTCAGTGGAGTAGATTAGAAGATGCAACCACTACTAAAACCACACTTAACCACCTTATCTTTGACAAAGGGGCCAAACATGTTCACTGGAAGAACGACAGTCTCTTTTATAAGTGGTGCTGGAAAAACTGGCTCTCTATATGCCAAAAACTAAGAATAGACCCATGCCTATCACCATGTACTAAATTAAATCTAAATGGATCAAAGATCTGAATATTAAAACAGAAACACTAAATCTATTGGAAGACAAATTGGGTAGAAACCTTGAAGATGTAGGGGTAGATAGATAATTCATGAACAAGAATCAAACCGCATGGGAAATACTTCCCACAATCAACAACTGGGCTCATGTCTTTTAAAAAAGTTTCTGCATGTCAAAAGTAATCTCTAGCATAGTGAAAAGCAAACCTACAAACTGGGAAAAAATCTTAGTGAACTGTCCCTCAGCAAAGACTTCAGTCTATAACATATAAAGAATTAAAAATAAATCAGACCTCCCAAATTTAAGGATCTAATCCAAAAATGGGCATCTGAGATGAATACACAATTCTCAGATGAAGAAAAACAAATGTCACATAAATACATGAAAAAATGTTCACCATCATCACTCATTAGAGAAATGCAAATTCAAACCACACTGAGATTCCGTCTTACTCCTGAAAGAATGGCCAGGATTAAGAAACCTAGCAACAACAAATGCTGGAGAGGCTATGGGGAAAAAGAACTCTCCTGCACTGTTGGTGGGAGTGTAAACTGGTGCAACTATTGTAGAGGTCAGTCTGGACATTTCTCAAAAAGCTAGGACTAGAAGTCCCATTTGTTCCAGCTATTCCACTTCTAGGCATATTCCCAGAAGAACTGATAACATCATGCCACAGTGATATATGTGCACTCATGTTTATAGCAGCACAATTTGTAATCGCCAGATCTTGGAAACAACCTGAGTGTCCATCAACTGAGTAATGTTTTTAAAAGTTATGGTATTCTTATACAATGGAGTCCTACTCAGCTATAAAGAATGATCACATTGAGATATTTATAAATGAATGGGTGTAGCTTGAGACCATACTCATAAGTGAAATAAATCAAACTCACATGTATAAATAATCAATAGCTTCCCTAGTGTAAGAAATGGTAAGAATACATAAAACTATATGGTAATCATGATTCCCCAGTATATTCCTTTGAAGCCTTATAATGTTTTCATTCATTAATTGGAATGGTTTTATTCTGGGTTGTTTGATTTTATCGTCTGTGTTGGTACGAACAGCTATTTTGAAGAAAACAAGAGATTACAATAACTAGTTATGATTTAATATCATATTGTTTTGAAATCCCGCCAAGCTTTTGTTCTTCTGTCTCCATTGGTTTTATCATGTTGTATCTTACTGGATTTTATTATATGTGATAGTATAAACAAAACATTTTATAGACAAGGAGATATTATAGTAACCTTTGTTTATTTTCTGTTTAGTTGATTCTGAAAACTCTGTAATACTTTCATTCTCTTGAGTGGTTTTATACTGTCCTTATGTTTGATACTATCGTATATGAAGGTATACTCAATTATTTCAAGGAAAGAGACACTATGGTAGCTACTGTTATGTTGGATTGTCTTGTGATGAAACACTATGTTGCTTAAACTGTTCTGTTTTGACCTGTTTTATTATGTCCTCTTTTATCTTAATCTTTTTTTTTAATAACAAAAAGAAAGTTCAAATGAAAGTTCTTTATGGGAGAACAGAAATCTCAAAATGGTGCAAATGTATCTACAAACACTTAACCTCACTTATACTATCCCAGCATAAAGAGGAAGTGAAAATTTACCTTGCATCCATAAGACTGAGAAATGTTTCAAAACTCTGATGGTGTTAATGTTGAAAGAAATGTGTAATAAATAGAATACAAGGACTCTATTGGTGGAAGTGGAGAAAATTGAAAATAGAGTAAATTTAGTTGTCAACACAGTAAATTAATTAACATATTATTCATTCATTGCTACTTTAACTTGTAAAGATTTAATCCAACTGTAATTTTACAAGCAACATTGACACAGCAAATTTTAAATTGTATACATTATGGCCCCAAAATAACAGACCTATATGTAAGAAAGTATTTCACTGGTATTTTTTAAAGTTAATCAAGAAAAGCTTTTGCTTGTTGTGTTATATTACATATTGCCATATTCACTGATTGGCACAGACTGTTACACTGAAAATTGTTGCAACATGGTCACCTAATCCATTGGTGAATTAGCAATGGTAAATCTAGCAATGTTAGTAAAATAAAGAATTGTAGAAGATACATAGACTTATTTCATGCATACAAACCTTTATTCTAGCAAAACAATACTGATGTAACTATATATAAATAAGAATAATTAAAATAATAACATAATTTGCTGCAGAAAATTGAGAAAAACAGAATCAAGCAGGGATTACTCAGTCTTTTAATATCTTATTGTCTGAAAAACCTGAAATGAATGCAACATTTTGTTAACATGTAATGATGACTAATTTGCACTGATAAAGAGACTTTTCATTACATCATATTTTCTGTCATAGGGTGAAAATAGTCTAACAAGTTAAACCTTCACACTAATTTAATGATGCAGGTAAATATCAGGTGAATCATATGTAGAAAACAGTTTAATTTCCAAGGAGACACTGAACAAAGAAATGAAATATATTTTGAAAACACATAATAATTAAATTTATTATAATTTCAAAATATATAATCATACATGAGGCAAAATATAAACACACATATATATGTACCATATACATGTATAGTAATATTAGGTTTAGGCCTTTAAAAAAGATTCCTAAAATTAAATTTAAAAATACATATCAAATGATAAAGTATTGAATATTAATATAGTAATAAGATAAATATGAACTAGCAATATAGAAGTGTTATATGATGAATTTTACAAATACACATGTGACTATATGGCTGAAATAACAGGTAAATTTACATAACTAAAAATACAGGATATCGTAATGAATCAGTATGGGAAATGTTACATGTTGATGGGAAAGCCATACTCTTAGAAAACAAACCCAAAAGCATTCTGTGAAAAGTTTGGCATTTCTACTAAAAATACAACATGAAAGACAATGCCATTGGATTTGAGAAATTTGAGTAATACATTAATAATCTGAGATATTTCCAAAAATTTTTCATTGCTATGTAATGGTTTTATGGTACTCGGGTTTGAACTCATAAACTTGCACCTGTCAGGCAGGCACTCACACCACTGAGCTAAATCCCCTGCTGTGTTACATAATTTGAATAAGGAAAAAATCTCTCCCACAATTGTCAAGTTTCTGGAAAACAATTCAGGGTTTATTGAGGACTAAAATGATTATTTTTATTGCCATATAATGAGCTATTGGAATGCATACTATGGAAGGAAGTATGTGTTCTGCATTGATTTTATAAAGCAGACCATGGTTTTCAGTTTGAATTTCTACAGTTTTGAAAACACTCACTGAATTGGGCCGGTAAGTCCAGACTAATAGCAATATATAACTGCAAATCTCCCAAATGAGTTCTAAAAGATCACAAAAATGAAGGGATGTGATTTATCAATGAATATGTTCGTTAAACTGTTAGATGAAACCAATATTTTGTATAATGGTGACCTTCTCTATATTACTTAACCAACTGTTCCTTTTGGATAACTTTCTTTATGGCTACTTTGACGTCTTTGTTCCTTAGGCTGTAGATCAGAGGGTTTAGCATGGGACTCACGAAGATATAAAACACAGCTACAATTTTACCTTGTTCCACAGATGCCTCAGAAGGGGGTCTCAGATACATGCAGAACAATGTCCCATAAAAGACAGTGACAGCCGTCAAGTGAGACCCGCAGGTGGAGAAGGCCTTGCGTCTGCTCTCGGCAGAGCGCATGCGCAGAATGGCCGCTGAGATGAACAGGTAGGAAACCAGGATGATGGTGAGCGAGCAGGTGAGGTTGGTCCCGGCCACCACAAACATTGCGGTCTCCTTGACATATGTGTCCGAGCAGGCTAGGACTATGAGCGGGGGGTCAGCACAATAGAAGTGGTTGATCTCGTTGGGTCCACAGAAAGTCAGACGAAGCATCAGGATGGTCTGTGCTAGGCCATTTGCAAAGCCATAGAGGTAAGGAGCAGCCACGAGAGAGAGACAGACACACCTGGACATTTTGCTGCCATAAAGCAGGGGCTGGCAGATGGCCACATAGCGGTCATAAGCCATCACTGTGAGCATATAATAATCGGTGATCACCAGCGCAATGAAAAAGTGGAACTGGATAAAGCAGCCAGCGAAGGAGATGGTTTTCCTCTTGGATAAGAAATTCACCAGCATCTGGGGAGTGACATTGGTGGCATAACAGAGATCCACAAAGGCGAGGTGGCTGAGGAAGAAGTACATGGGGGTGTGGAGTTTCGGATTGCTTCTGATGAGGAGAATCATGGTCACATTCCCAGTGACAGTGATGAGGTAGATGACTAAGAAGACCACGAAGAGGACGGGCTGCAGCTCTGCTCGGTCTGTGAGTCCCAGCAGGATAAACTCAGTCACCATGGAGTAGTTTTGCTTTATCATTCTGCTTCCCTGGCTTTGGGTAAAGTCTAAGGAAAAGAAAAGAAAAATGCACCTGGCTTGTGTCATTTATTTACTGCCCCCATAATATCTGATATTTCCTCCTTCTGTCAAATTTGTACATGTGGCATAAAGTTATTATGTCAATATATAATCAAAATCATAATATATGTATATATGCACACATATATCTAAATATTCTGACAATCTAGCGTTTTCATACTTAAAGACCCTTTATGTTTTTGCAAGCCTTGATCATAGTTATGCATCCATCAGTTTCTTTTACATGTGGATATGAATAAACCTTGGCTTTTAAAACATAACAGAATCCTTTATGTTATACTCTAACTTTTGATACTGTATGTAATGTACCAACTATGGAACTTATGTTATTCACAGCTGAGTAGGTTCCAGGGAGTGAAATTGTGATGTAGTGCATGTAGAACTGGGGTCTCCTTTTCCCTGCCCCACTGAACCCAGTATTATTTTGAAGATGTTATTTCCTCTATAATGCATGTTCATTTTCCCTATCTAGTCCGTCTTAGGAGACCCCTGTACCATAAAAATTTCTTTAAATTTTCAGACTATCCCAGGATACCTGATTATTTTGCATATTTTGCGTGTGTAGATAAATAGTTGGTTTGAGCTAACAACACACATATATATAAATATATATAATAAATTATACACATGCATCTTGGTGCTTTGAAATGCCCCTGTGTGTTGTTTAAAGAAAACCATAAAATGTGTAAACTTTTTGTGGGCTTGGGAAAATAAGAAGTCGTTGAAAAATGAGCCCCAGACCATGATCAGCTTTTGTATCTATACCTCATGCTAACTCTTGGAAAACCTTTTAAAAATTCATTAATATAATTTCAAAAGTCTCCTTAATTGGATGTTACTATTTTCTTAGATTATAGTAAATTAATATCCATGTTAACTGTAGAATTGAGACAGTACTTAAGATATCATGAAGTGTACATCTCAACATTTGGGCAGAAGAAATGCAGTCAAGAGACTATTGCAGAAAGCTAATGTCTTCCACAGTTATGATAATGCAGTGCTGACTTTTTCTGTAACTAAATTGGTGATGGGAGCAGGTCATTATGTAATCATTTTATTCCATTGACATTCAGGCATGTCCATTGCTTTGTCCATTTATGGATATGAAGACTTTAGACATAGTAACTAAGGTTACAGGGTCCAAAGTAAAGTTACCAAACTCAATGAAATCCTAATTACATTCTGCCTTTTTTCTAAGTTATTAATATCCAACTGAATTTTATCACTATAGTAGCCAAATTGACAAATGCTTTTTTAATATTCTTAATGTCTTTGTTTATTGAAATACTCACTAAAATTCAAAAACATTGACATCTCTGTTCATTTTCTGCTGTGAGGAAATAAGGCAATGCAAGCAATGAGCATTCCATATAACTGAATACTTCAGGGTATCAGCTTTCCTTTATAAGAAGAGGAACATAGTGTCTGTTATAATTTAAGTCAGAAAATCTCAATGAGAATAATTTTCAAGGGACATAAGCAACTCTGGAGCCATCCCACAGCTATGTTCTCTCCTGTGAATGCTTCTGGTCACTGTTAAACCCCCGCTTTAGAAACCTCTGGTCTTTAGATTAACAAGGATAATGTTACCTTGGCCAGGTATAGATCAATGGAAAGTAAAAAATAATTATCATTTTCAAGTACACCTTTTAATGAGCTTTACATAATTTAATATAGATTATAAATCTGAAAGTGCTCATTTCTAAATGGGGTATAGAAATGATATGAAACAATGATTATAATTACAGAATAGCAATGAGAATCTGAAAGACCACTTATGTAGTCTCCTATTTTACTTCTGGTTTTCTGAGCTCAGTTACAATTAAGTAAGCATGGCTAAGTATGGAGACCCAGAATGCAATAATTACTGAGAGTTTGCAGTCCCATTTCCCAGGTAGAAATTCCTGTAGTCCCAAGCTGTATAATTTTGGGTAAGTTATGAAATGCTGTGTGTCTTAATTTTCTTATTGATTGAATTTTACTAATGATAGTAACTACTTCCACGTGAGGACGTCAATTCCCAGCAAGTCCAGCCTGTAGTAAGCACTTAAAAAGTTGTGGTTGCTCACTTTATGTTACAAGACCCAGGTATGGTCTAGAATAATATCATACTTCCTTAGAGAAGAAAATTATACCTAATCTATGTCCATGGACACCTTGGGCTTTCTCAACTGGAAGCATTCACTTGCTTTTGATAGAATTAACGCTCATTTTGGTCTAACTCCCTTTGAATTACATAAAAGCCACTCCACCATATATTTATTTATAGCTACTTTACTCTGAAATTAATAGTAGCATTTTCAGAGAGACTTTTGCTAGTTTATTAGATGAACATTAGACTTTTGCTAGTTTATTAGATCCTCTCAAGTTACTTTGATCAATTAAAATGTTTGCTTCTGGATTCCAAAATTTAAAAGAAGTATGCCTGATCCTACCTGAGGAAAGGATGTGATTTCACAGAGGCAGCACTTACACACTGAACCTGAAGAGTTTATAACTGATTTGCCTCTTAGGAATCAAGTCCCTAGGGCTCAATTATTCCTAGCAGAAAATTATTTCCACTTTTTGCCTATTCTAAACATCCTGAACTCACTCAGGAAATAGATTTTGTTCTTCCTCATTGTGATAAATCAAATAAATAATGAAGCAATGGGACTCATTGTTTAGGACATGCTGAACTTGTTACTATTTTGGATAATGTAAATATCAATTTTTCTCATATGCAAGCTATAAACTAAAATACATGATAGCAGGAGAAAGATTTCAAATCTAGTAAGCTTTGGAAGATTAATTAACTTTTCTTAAACTTAGACTAGCCACATACTAATTTTGAAGCCTATGTCTTTATTTTGTTAATAGAAATGATACATTATAGTGAGGAACATGATATATCCATAGATAATGTAGATGAACTTTCCGACTCTACAACTATGCAGATATACTGTCTTTTGTCTCTACCTTTGAATTTTTTCTTTATCAACCATCTGGTCAACAATGTCAGCAGAGGTCTTTTGGCGTTTAGTTTAAAACTCACTGTGACTAATGGAAAGTAATAATGAGAAGAGAGAGACTGCGTTAAAGAGAGGTGTTTAATTGGATGCCTCATTCTCTTCCTGTTTAAAAGGGAATGTGCTAGTAGTATCATTTCTGGCTGAGCTACCAGAAGACAATGGTTGGGGATTTTTGTTCCTGGTTTCAGCTTTCATTTTTTTCATAGTACAGTACTTTATTTGTTATATCAAGTGATATGCCCTAAGGGAACTTGCTTTACTTTTTTAATGTTTTTTTTATTTTAAAAACAAAAAGATAGAAATGATACCAAAAAATCACCAACAAAATGAGAAAACAACCCACAGAATGAGAAAAAGTTTTAGCCAGCTGTCCCTCAGATAAAGGATTTCTATCTAGAACATATAAAGAATCATGGCCCCCAAATTCAAAGACCCATCCAAAAATGGGCATCTCAGATGAGCATGCACTCCTCAGATGAAGAAATACAAATGGCAAGCAGCTACATAAAGAAATGTTCAATATCACTGATCATTCAAAACATACAAATTAAAACAACACTGAGAATCTACCTTACTCCAGAAAAGTATGGCTATCAATAAATCAAACAATAACAAATGCAAGAGGGGCTGTGGGGAAAGAGGAAGCCTTCTCCACTGTTGGTGGGAGTGTAGATTGCTGTAACCTCTGCAGAAATCAGTGTGAAGATTCCTCAAAATCCATGATTGGAAGTCCCATTCAACCCAGTTATTCCTCTCCTGGGTAAGAATTGAAGACTTCATGTCACAGTGATACATGTGCATGCATGTTTATGTCAGTTCTTATTTTTTTCTGATAACTGTGGAGACTGAGTTTGCTCCTGTCAGCCTCACAGCAGAAATTGTTTTCTGATATTAATTGCTGTTTCTTCAAATTCTTTGAATGATTTTTAATCATGCCTGCATAGTCAAATTTTCTTTGGATTTTTTTTGAGCTAACACATGTGATCAGAATTATTTTTATGCTGTGTTTATGACCCAAGCCAGAGTAATACAAAGTAGTTAACAAACATATTATAATATAATGTATAATAAATATTCTGGTATGTTCAAATCTATGAAACTGTACTGAACTCTGAGTTACTCCACTAAAAATACAAGCAAAATATCAAGCAGGACGAACCTATGTGGTAGGAGAGAAATTTAGAATCTCATGTTCTGAAATATAAGGGAAGAATTCTGTTTAAGAAGGATATGATCAGAATATGTGCATTGAGCCACTTGAGCAAAACTATGAAATTAGGAGTAAGGAGCCAGCCAGTAAGGGTCAATACAAGCAGCAAAATATTAAAACATGTTATGTGCATGCATTAATCTACCAGAATGAAGTTCGTTCATCTGTAAAATCAGCATGTGCTGATAAAAAAAAGTTATGAAAAAAAAACAAGAAATCAATGACACCAAATATCAGTGATGGGTCAAGAAATTGAGGACTGAGAGCTGACTACTGCAGTTAGGTAGGTAGAGACCAGTAATAACTTTCACAAGAGCAGTTTCTACGGAGACAGGAAAAGTCAGCTTAAAGCAGGATACAGAGTGCAAGTAAAAGTGACTTGAAAATGGAAAATATGTTCAATTATTATCAGTACTTTTGATTACCCAGGCGAAGACACTGGGAAGTAGGTAGGCTGTGGACAACTGGTGATTGGACCTGTATTTTCATGATTGTTAGCTCTTCCCCATGTGACTGGATTTTCATTATAGCAATGAGAACTGATGTGTGATGCACGCATGGAGAAACTGAACACCCTTTACAGTTGGTCCATGGGAATGTCAAAGTGGACAGAAATTGCCCAAAAATGGAAACAAATAAAGCTGGCTACTATGTAAGTGAGCAAACTCTGTTTCTAAGTCTACATCCCAAAGGATTAAGACCTTGATTTTCATGTTCACTCTAGCATTATTAACAACAG